AGAGAGAGAGAGGGAGAGAGAGTTGGGTATGAGATGTAGTTCAGGGCAAAGACCTTTTCAAGGGAACTGCCCACATTTGCAAAGCCCAGCCACTCAGCCCATGCTCCCTGGTGCCACTTGGTGAGCGCTGAGTGACAAGCGCCACCTTAGACTGGGAAGGGCGCCTCTCACCTGCTGCAGCTCGTGCTCAGAGGAGAACCGCCGGGTCACTCCCTGGATGAGGTTGGCGAAGGAGAAGGAGCCACCACCAAAACTGCAGGGTGGGGAAAGAGACACAGTGAGGAGCCCGGGAGCCGAGGAGGATTAGCCCAACGCTGTTCTGTTGGTCAGCAGTGACACCGACCCTCACTCCCACTCTTTGAGAGTGCTCAGGCATGGAGGAAAGAGATGACACACCCAACAGGCACCATCAGGCTGTGGTGGAGTCAGGACTGAAACTCAGGACCAATGCCAGTGCATGGGCTCCCATCTTCCCAGAGGGTACCCCACCTTCTCCAAGCAGGACCAGGACACCCATGCCTCCCCCTACCTTCCTTAGCCACCCACTGGGACCCCAAGCTCAGTGAGCGGCTGTCCTGTCCCCTGCAGGGTCTTCATGCAGACCACCCCCTGCCTACTGTACACTCACTCCTGAAACAGCTTCCTCCAGTTACTGCGCACGAAGTCCCAGACCAGGGGCTGGCCCACCACGTTGTTGGCAATGCTGATGATGGTGGAGGTAGCATCCTGCCTCCGGATGAGTGTGGAGTTCAAGGTGTAGCTCAGATACCTGCGAGGCAGCAAGCCAAGCTGTTGGGCACCAAGGGCTATGGCCAGTGGCACAGGGGGCAACCGCAGACTGGAAGGGACAGGCCCCATGCTTCCTCTAGCATCCACGCAGGCCAAGAGCTGAGGGACCCCTTGCTCCTACCTCCCTTTGCAGATAGGAAACTCAGTCACCTAAGCAGGTTCCCAGGGTCTTTGCTAGGCCAAGCATGGCTCTGACATGGACATGCCCCAAGCTCTGGTGCCAGCTAGAGTGGCTGCTACATCTTTATTTTATTTTATTTTATTTTTATTTTATTTATGTGTGTGTGTGTGTGTGTGTGTGTGTGTGTGTGGCCAGCTCAGCCCACCAGGGGGCGGGGCTGGCTGGCATGTGGTGCTGGGGGATTGAACCGCGGTCCCTGTGCCTCGCTAAGCTTGTTCTAAGTAGGTGCTTCAGACCACTGAGCCATCTCACCAGCCCCTACATCTTTAAATTTACAATGAGAATGAATCCTTCTTTTTTTTAATTGTAGTACTGGGGATTGAACCTAGGGCCTTTGCATGCATCTCTAGTTCTTTTTTTTTTTTTTTTTTTTTATTCTTTGTTTTGAGACAAGGTCTTGCTAGGTTTCTTTAGTTGCCCAGACTGGGGTTGAACTTGGGATCCTCCTGTCTCAGCCTTTCAGGGTGCTGAGAGGACAGAAGTACATCACCATGCCTGGCTATCTTTGATGGCTTTCTCTTTTTTATATGTGTGGCCCTGAGGCTGGGGAGCTAGCTCAGCCATCTAAGTGCCTGCTTGTTAAGTGCAAAGATCCGAGTTTGATCCCCAGTATTACATGCCATGCCAGTCCTGGAAACCCCAAAACCAGGCACGGTGGTGCACTCCTGTAATCCCAGTGCTGGGGAGGCTGAGACAAGGAAGATCACCACAAGTCTAAACTGTGTAGTGAGACCCTGTATCAAATAAATACATGTGTGGTCCTGGGAATTGAACCCAGGCATTTCATGTGCTAGGCAAGCACTCTACCACTGAGTTACACCCCAATCCAAAAGAGCTCTTCTTTACTGGGATCTCACATCATGACACATGAGGCACAGATGGGGAGTAAGGAGCCATCACCCAAGGCCTGGGGGGCACCAGCGGGACATCCAGGACTGAAGCCCTTGATGGAGAGGGAAGTGCGCTGTCACACACTGGCTGAGGGGCCACAGCAGTTAAAGCTACCGGGCGTGGGCCAGGTGTGGTGGTGCATGCTGTGATCCAGCACTCTAGGATGCTGAGCTCAAAGACCACTTTTGAGCTCAGTCCAAGCCCAGCCTGGACAACTTAGTGAGACCCTATCTGAAAATAAAAAAGAGCTAGGGCACATAGCTCAATACAAAAGCCCTGGGTTTAATCCTTGGTACCGCAAGATAAATAAATAAGAAAGCACAGGATGTGGGCCTACACCTGGGTTCAAATCTTGGCTGTAGCCTTCAGGTGAATCCTTGGCTCCTCAGAGCCTCCATATCCTTCTCTGAGGTGAAATGGGTCCTGCAGGAGCTTCTCTGTAAGCCTGTGACACCCGCGAGGTTCTCAGAAGGGTCCTTACCTGTTCAAGATCCACACCTGGTTGCTGCAGGCCAGGGCCGACCGCAGCTTGTCGGCCTCGTTGACCAGGGTGGCGCTGAGGAACTGATTCCAGGCGAAGTTCCACTCAGCCTCGCCGCCTTGGGCGATGGCGTTGCAGTACACAGTGGAGCGCAGGTTGGGGTGAATCCTGCGTGGATGGGGGCATCAGGGTGTGTGCAGTGGGATTGCTGAGGGGCCTCCCAACCCCAACTGAGGGTCAGCAAGGACAGGGGGCCACTCACGTGTTGTTTTGGGGGTTTGCCATCCACTCCTGGAAAAGCTTTGTGACCAGCTGCTTACACTCCTGGACCCCGTTGGAGCAGGCAGTGCTGATGGCGTTGACCTCGTTGTACCTGCCCCGGGACGCACGCTTAGTACTCCCAGCTGACCCCCCGGGCGCTCTAGGTCAGCCCCATCTAAGGCCCGGATCTTCTGAGGCTCCCCACTTGTTTCATGTCTTGGCCCCCAAAGCAGTCTGGGGACCCAGAAGGTCTTGCGGAGGCTCCTGACGAAGCCCTCTGACCTTGAGCTGGTGGGGGGCTGGAGATGGAGCCCAGCCAGGGCAGGAGCTGGCACAGAGGGCCCCAGAGGAGGACAGTAGGGGAGCCCCTGCTGCCTGAGTCACCATCACCTCCCGACTCGCGGCTACTCACTGCTCCATCAGCGTTGGGGGCCGGTCCTTCCACTCGTTGGTAAGGGCTTTGAAGTGAGAGAAGAGGGGCTCAACCTGCTTCTTCAGGTAGTTCTGGGGAAAGAACACAGCTGCAGGTGACTAATGGACATCTCCCCGGCTGTGGTCAGTTCTAACCCTGTCCCTCGAGATCCTAAGGACTCTATGCTTACTATGGGGAAAGTAGAAAATGCAAAAATAAAAAGCAACCAGAACCTAACCAAAATTATGACTTCCAATTGTAATATTTTTTTCCTATACTGGGGCTTGAACCTAGGAACTTTACAATGAGCTACACTGCCAACCCTTTCTGTTTGTTTATTTATTTATTTATTTATAGACAGGATCTTGCCGTGTAGTTTAGACTGGCCTTAAACTCATTATATAGCACAGGGTGGCTTTGAACTTGTAGTGATCCTCCTGCCTCAGCCTCCCCAAGGTTACAGGCATGCACTACCATACCAAGCTTAATTTTTTATTTTGAAACAGGATCTCTATGTTGCTAAATTGGCCAGGCTAGGTTCAGCCTCCCAGAGTGCTAGGATCACAGGCAAACACCACCACGCCTAGCTATCCCTGTTTATTTCTGAACTTTCCTGTTTGACGCAGCACACCTACAGCTCTACACACATCCGTCTCACACCACGGCACTAGGAATCCTGAGGACTGTGGTTCAGTGCTGCAGGCTGACTTCTGCCCTGGGCAGAATCCACACTCAGAGGCTTTTGCCCCCAAGGGGCCCAAGAAGAGCTTCCAGCTGGGGTGTGCCAAGGAGTGATGAGGCTCTGGTAGGATGGAAAGAAAGGTCAGGGGCATGGCTGAGGCAGGGCATGCAGAGACAGAGTCAAAGTCTGAGGGAGAGGCAATTTCACCTCGAGCCCCACCTCGCTCCTCAGGGACAGCACTTTGTCCCCTGGGGGAGAGCCTAGACAAGGGGCTCAGGATGTGAGGATCCAGGTACTGCAGGAGCGGTGGCAACAAGAGTCAGCATGGATGTTTCTAGAAGAATGCTTGGAACCCAGTTCCTGTCCCCTCTCTGGCATTGCCAGTCTCATTGCTTAGAGACCCACTATGCAGCCCAAAGAAACTGCAATGTTTGGTTTTTGGTAGCACTAGGGATTGGACGCAGGGCCTTTGCACTGAACTATCTCCTGGCCCTTTTTGATCTTTTGGTTGCCTAGGCTGGGTTCCAACTTGTCGTCCTCCTGTCTCAGCCTCCCAACGCATGAGCCCTTCTCAGTTCTAGAAATGTATGCCCCCCATGCACAGCAGCCACCCCAGCCCTCCTCTGGTGTTCCTCTCCGTATGTGAGCTGCCAAAGCAAGCACTGGAATCCAGGGGGCAGCTCAGCCTTAGCTTGGAAAGAGACCAAGATAAACAGAAAACAAAGAGGAAGCAAAGGGGCCAGGGAGATAGCTCAGTAGAATAAGCATTTGCCTGGCAAGAGCAAGGGCCTAAGTTCAATCCCTGGTTAGAGGAAGCAAGTTCAGTGGAAGAAAAGGGAAACTTCAAAAAGCCTAGAACAAGCATCCACCAAGGCCAGGCTTGGCCATGAGTATGAGGCCAACCTAGTGGGATCCTGTCTCAAAACAAAACACAAACAAACAAACAAACAAAAAACCCTGAGCCAAAGGGGAGACAGCACAGAATGCTGGAACCAGAAAGGCCACTCAGAAATGTCAACATGCGATGGAGACAGACACACAGGCTTCAGGCAAGGAGGCCTCCCACAAGGCGAGGCGAAAAGTACACCAAGTGGAAACTAGAGTGACAGGAAAGGAGGCATGAGAACAATCAGGATTAATTGGTGTTCCAAGAAGAGGGAACTAGAAAACGAGGGAGAGAAGGAAGTTGAAAGAGCCAAGGCAAAAATGTTCTATTACTAAAGGACATGAATGTTCATACTGCAGAAAAAGGTGAAAATGATGCAAACCAAGGCCCATCAGGAGAGAAAGAAGAGTCCAGAAATTTCCAGGAGAGAAAAGAGGTCACATCCCAAGAGAAAAAGAGAAATGAGAAAAGGTCTGGGCTTTTCACCAGCAGCCTGGAAAGCCTGACATCAACAGACCAGGACCAGACCAGACATTTATTTATGAAAGGATTTCTAATCTTGAAGTTTTGTTTTTTTGTTTTTGTTTTTGTTTTTGTTTTTGTTTTTGTTTTTGTTTCTGGTACTGGAGATCCAAATTATGACCTTATATTTGCCAGGCAGGCACTGTGCCACTGAACTACATCCCTAACCCCTTTAAAGTTTCTAAAGGCCACTGAATGCAGCACGAGAGTGAAAGACAAATATTCCAGACACCCAGCCTCTCAGCTCCTTGAAAACGTGTTCCCCTACAAGACTTAATTCATTCCATAATTCTAGAAAAAAATGACAGTTATGTTCACGTGTGAAGACGGCCATGGTCACATTCGACAGCTGATGCAGAGTTCACAAGGAAAACAAAATTTGGCCAAAACAAAAGTGTTTGGAGGGGGGCTGGTGAGATGGCTCAGTGGTCTAAAGCACCTACTTAGAACAAGCTCAGCTAAAGCACAGGGACCACGGTTCAATCCCCCAGCACCACATGCCAGCCAGCCCCTGCCCCCTGGTGGGCTGAGCTAGCCACACACACACACACACACACACACATAAATAAATAATTTTTTTTTAAAAAAGTGTTCGGAGGGAAGGCGCCACTGTCTTGTCTGTATTTCCGATCAGCTGGAAGTCCCTGTGCCTCTACATCATGTGTGTTTCTCGTCCTCATATTTCTCACCAAGGCCAGGTCTGCCCTTAGAAGACACCAGGCCACACAGTCCTTCTATTCATTTCCTAGTGTAGGATTTCAGGCACTGGAGTGAACTGGTTCTTTTTGTTTTGGTTTGGTGTGTTTAGGACTGGGGTAGCGCCCAGGAGTTTGCACATGTGAGGCGAGGGCTCTAACACCAAGCTAAATCCCAGCCCTTTTTTATTATGATTTTTTTTGCAGGGGTACTAGGAATTGAATTCAAGGCCTCTGCAGTGAGCTATTTATCTCTAGCTGCAGGTCCCTCTTCTTTTTTTTTTTTTTTTAGTTGCAAGAAAGAGGCTTTCTAGGGCCAGCCAAATAGTTCAGTGGATTAAAGTGCCAGCAAGCAGGTGCAGGGGCCAGAGGTTCAATCCCTGGGCTTGCCATGCCAGCCCTGCCCCAGAGGCTGCTGAGAAGGCAATTGGGACTGGGCATGGTGGCACACACCTATAATCCCTGCACTTGGGAGGCTGTAAATAGGTGGATCACTTGAGTCCCATCTAGTAGTGAGACCCTGAACACCCTGAAACCCTTCCCTAAAATACAAAAAAAGGAGGCTTGCTAAATCATTAAGTTGCCCAGGCTGGACTGGAACTTGTAATCCTCTTGCCTCAGCCTCCCAAGTAGCTGAGATGACAGGCCCACTTTGCCCCATATGGATGACTTCCTGACCACAGTCTACACCCGTACCTTCATGGGGCCATAGACCTCAGAGCGGTCAAACATGAGCTTGAAGTAGTTGAGGCTGCTCAGCGCTGTCTCCCAGGGCAGGTACTCTGTCTCTCGGATCAAGAATAGGGTGTTGTCCAGAGCCAGCGTGACAGGGACCTTTTGGGCACTAGGGATAGACAGAAGGGCCCTGGTCAGCCACACCCAGCGCATCCACACCCCAGAAGCCTCAGTGGAAGTTCCCAGGGACACAGCTCAAGCCAGGTGCTGCCCCTCCCAGAGCCCCAGGCCCTGGTCCCAGCTGGATCAGCTCAAGATCTGCCATGAGGGATGAAGGGATATAATGTTAAGGGTGCCACAAACCGGGCCCTGTGGCCCTGTCTTAACTTCTGCTAGACACAGTTCCTTCCTTATTATACCCATTTTATAGAGGAAGAAACTGAGGCTCAGGGAAGTGAACTGACTTTCCCATGGCACACAGCTCATAGGAGGTAGGGTCGAGGCTCTGCTTCGCTCAGCCAACCTCTTCTGCCCAGCAGGGGCCTCACCACTTCCCAACCTCTCACCCTTAGACCAGTGTGCACATCTGGCCTATAGCTGTCCACATCTGGGGTTGATGTCACTCATGTCAAGAACTGAGGCTGAAGGAAGTGCTCAGTAACTCTGTCCAGCTGAGCTCTCTCCCTCCGGCCCTGTTCAGCCCAGCTTTTTTGAGCACCAGTCTGGTGGCCAGGCATGGAGTTTCTGGAGTAGGGTGTGGGCAGTGGGGAGGGCAAGCCAGCATCTGGTGGCTGCATGGCATCATGCAGCCTCAAGCATGGCGCCCCAACTCTGTGCCCAACTCCTTCTCATGGGCACTCACTTGGCCAGGTCGAAGGCATCGTGGATGACCTGTGCCCGATTGATGACAGGAATCACCTGGAAGAGAATAGCATGTGAGCTCCAGCTGCCTCGATGAACAGCCTTGTGGTCTAGAGGCCCATCCTGAGCCAGGGACAGGGTAGAGTAGCTGACACCTACCGTGTGGTCTGACTGCAGCTGATTCTGGATCTTCTTCCAGTTGTCCTCATCGTAGTTCACCTGGTAGTAGCCTGTCACATTGACATTCAGCAAGATCCACTCATTGGTCCCTGTCGCCCTGAACAGCTGGTCCTGGGCTGTAGAGAGAGACAGGGCAGGCAGGGGCTGCTTAAAAGAACACAGGGGGACTCAGAGCCTCCACTCTTCTTCCTCAGCTCACCTCCAGGCAGCTTCCCTGGCCTCTCCAGGAGCCTGAATTTCCCTTATTCCCAGCTCCTCATGGAGCAGGGAATGGCTACATACTCTATGGTACTCAGCAAGCACTAGAATGCTTTCTTTTTCTCCTCCCAGTACTGGGGATTGAACCCAAGGCTATGCACTGAGCTACATCCCTAGTCCTTTGATACATTTTTTTTTTTTAAATTTTGAGACGGGGTCTCACTAAGTTGCTAACTTGCCCAGGCTGGGCTCAAACTTGCCACCCTCCTGCCTCAGCCTCCCAGGGTACCAGGATTACACATGCACACTGGCTGGAATGCCCTGAGCCCTTGTCTTCCTTTCCCTAGAGCATTGGCCAAAGCTGAGCATGAACAGCTCGGACTGTTACTTCCTCGGAGCCAGCAAGGGCTGCTGAGACCAGGGGCGGGGCCAGACACTACTCTAAGGTTTTAGGTGACTTCTCTTCTTCAGTCCTCACACAACCCCCTGGAGTGGACACTGCTTAGCTATACTTCATGAGAAAGAAAGAGACCAGAGAAGGATGTAACTTGCTCAAGGTTACACAGATGGGCAGCAGCAAAGTGGACACAGAGCACAAGTGGGCTCTGTTCCTTGAATAACATGATGAAGGAAGCCCTTCCTAAGGCCCACCGCAACCCCAGAATTGGGGGGGAGATGAGCTGCATTACTGTTCCGGACGCCGTTCAGCCAGTAGTTGCTCTGCTGTGTGCCACTTCTGATGGACGAGATGGGCACAATCCACAGGTAACTGCAAACAGAGGCCCGGACGCCAGGGGTCAGGTTGGCAAGAAGCAGGCTGCCCAGGCTGTCACCGCACACCCCCAGCTCCTGGTGCTGGAGCGGAGCTGCTGCACCATGGGGACGACCCACTGTGCCAGGGCCCCAAGTGACTGCTCTCCATGCGGCCCAGCGCCTCCCTCCCTGGAGCTCGAGCCTCAGTGACTCCATCTGCTCACTTGTAGTCCGAAGGGCGGGTGACATTGGCCTGGGGGTCAAGAAGGAAGTGCTCCTGGGAGATTGCTCCTGTCCCGGTGTTCACAGTGATGACGGGAAAGCCCATTTGCAGGATCCAGCGGTCCATAATGGTGCTCACTGAGGCCGGGAGCGTGACTGCTGACTGCTGGTTCACAGCCTGTGGGGGGAAAGGAAAAGGGGGAGGACTGAACCCAGGGCCGTCACACTGAGCTATCCCCGGTCCTTTTAAAATTGTTTCCTGGGCTGGGGAGATAGCTCAGTAGAATAAGTGCTTCCCTGGCAAGCGCAAGGGCCTGAGTTCAATCCCTGGTTCCACCAAAAAAAAAAAAGTCACAGGCTAGGGTGAGGGACAGGGTGATGGGGCATGAGGAAATGCAGGCAGCATGGAGGGCCTGGGCAGGGCACTGTGCCTGGAGTCTGCCCATCCTTCTCCATGGGCACTGTGTCTTGCCTTTGTAGGCACAGCATCCATGGGAGAGGGAGGAAGGGGCTGGACTGAAGTAGCAGGAGGACTCGACTGTGCCTTGGTGGCACCATCTTGTCCCAGAGACTGAGGCAGGGGAGGCAGACCAGCGGGGGCTGGCGCCCATTTCCAGTGAGTGCCATGGCAACTGGAAGGGCTGTGATTTGCCCTCAGGAGCAGCACAGTGGTGGGGCTCAAGTGATAGGAAAATGGGGATCCTGGGTTCTGGATAGAGTGAGGGTGCGAGAGGTGAGGCCGTGAGCGAGGGCTTCTGGGAAGGTGTGGGAGTGAGTGAGGGCTTCTGGGAAGGGGTGGGCAGGGCAGGGCAGGGACCCTGGAGTACTCAGTCCACTCCAGCCCCAGAAGAGATAGGGTGTGGCAGCAGCCTCAGCCAGCTTTACCCTTGACGGGGACTACTGAGTGTGGAATGCAGGCGGGCAGGGGCAGAGGGCAGAGTTTGTGCCCAGGGTACTGGGGTGTGCAGACCTGCACCAGGAGAGGCTACAGGCCCTGCGCACAGGGTAGCCACAGGTGCAGAGTCATTGAAAGCCAGCTCCAAAGTCTCCAAAGGAGGGAGGCTCAAGGCCTTGCCCTCCCTACCACAGAGCCCTTGAGAGCTCTAGTGCAGGCTGCCAAGCAGGGTGTGACCCCCTTAGTTGCTCCTGCCTGCCCCCACGGGTGTTGTGAGTGACCCACTTCACAGACGAGCAGCTGGGGCTGAGGAAGAACTGAAGGGTCCCCTCCCTCCCACACATGGCACCCACCTCCTGAAGATGATACCACAGGTCCTGGTAGACAGTGTTCTGGTACTCAAAGGCGTGGAGATAAGACTGTAGAGATAGGCGAAGGGGTGAGTGCACGCCCCAGGGCTGGGGCATGGGGCCAGGCAGGGCGAGGGGCACTCATCCCGGGCTTCCTTGAGGGCGCCACACTCACCGCCAGGCCCTTCTTGAACAGGTCCTCTGTCAGAAAGCTGGAGAGCATCCTGAGGACTGAGGCACCCTGGGGTGGGGCGACAGGGGCTCAGCAGGCCATGCTGGCCAGCATGAGTCCCTATAGGGCAGGCGAGCCCCATGTTGGTGGGTGTGAAGGTGGGGGGATACCACGTCCTACCTTGCTATAGGAGATGGTGTCAAAGACCTCACTGATCTGGGCGGGAGTGTTGATCTCCTCAGCAGGGCTGGACAGGGGGTGGGAGGAGGCCAGCGCATCCACAGCCATTACACGGTATACCTCATTCGTCACAATGAGGTCCTTCTGCAAACCCGCAAGTGCCAGCCATTAGGAGCCTGGCCCGGGGTGTGGCCCAGCTGACCCATGCCCCACCTAGCCCCTGGACAGTTACTCACCAGATTCCAGGTGGGCTCAGCATAGTCAGCACCCAGATACTCCACGTAGGAGGCGAAGCCCTCGTTCAGCCACAGGTCATTCCACCAGTTCACTGTGACCAGGTTCCCGAACCACTGCGGGGATAGGGGGTCAGCCCAGCAGGCGTGCTAGCCTTTCTGTCATTAACTGATGCCAGGGATTTTACCAGGAACCCTGCCAGGTGGCTCCCTCTTCCTGCCCGTGACTCAAGCCAGACCCAATTCCTTCCTGCACCCCAGGACAAGGCTACCTGATGGGCCAGCTCATGAGCGACTACAGTGACCACCCGCTCCTTGTTGCTGATGGAGGAAGATTGTGGATCGAAAAGCAGTGAGTTCTCCCTGTAGGTCACCAGCCCCCAGTTCTCCATGGCACCAGCATTGAAATCAGGCAGCCCAATCTGGTCTGGAGAGGCCAGACCATTAGTGGGGGAGTCTCAGTTGGGACCCCAGCTGCCACTGCCCACCCAAGGCCCCCCGCTTACCAGATTTCTCCAGTGGGTAGGGTGTGTCATAATGCTTGGCAAAAAAGCTTAGGATGGGGCCTGTTACATTGAGTGCATAATCACCATGGCCCTCGGCGATGGCGCTAGGCCGGGCCCAGATTCGGATCTGCAAAGTAGGTGACCACACCTGAGGTCAGGACCCTCCTGGATCCTGGAGGAGATGAACTGTGTCCCAGGTCCCAGGGAGCTGTGACGTCCTTGGTGGGCCATGGCTGGGGGACCAACCCCATTCCACTGAGAGCTCTGGTTGGCAAAGGAGGGACCCAGGGGCCTCGGAGTTCTCTGGGCCTAGAAGCAACCCTCAAGGGATGGTATAGCCATGGCCACCATCTGCCTGCCACTTCTGGATCAGAAACTTCCTTTATGAAGAGGAACCATTATTCTTTTTTTTTTTTTTTTTTTTTTTTTTTTTTTTAGCTTTTTTAGACAAGGGTTTCACTATCTAGTTCAGGCTGGCCTCAAGCTCACTTTGTCACCCAGGCTGGACCCTCCTGCTTCAGCCTGCTGAGTGCTGGGATTACAAGCATATGCTACCACGCCTGACATTATTCCCATTTTTAAGATATATTAGGGATGAGGGTACAGGACTGTCCTACAGCCAGGGTCAGGGCAGGGTGAGGACATGTGTACCCAGCTTCATACCTTGACACTATCAGGGGACAGTGATTCCACGTAGCTGAACTCGCTGACAATGTAGGCCAGCAGGTACGTGGACATCTTGGGTGTGGTATTGAACTCAGTGACGTTCCAGGTGGGGTCTCCCGTATATGGGACACTGGGGCCTAGGTATGGGGTAGACAATAAACGTGTGGGGATGGACCCTGTCCTGTCCAGCACCCAGACCTATGTCCCTGCCTCCCAGGCCATGTGGCCTTAGGCCAGAGCCGCTCACCTTTGGGAAGCATGTTAGACAGGGCTATGCGGTCTCTCGGGTGGATGAGGGTGATGTTGAATGTGGCCTTCATACCTGGCTCATCAAAGCAGGGGAAGGACTTCCGGGCATCTGCAGCCTGCATCTGTGTTGTAGCCACCACTCTGCCCAAACCAGGGTGTCAGAGGGTGGGCTGGAGGTGGGGCTGGGGCCTTGAGGGTGCCTTTGGGTGTCCACAGGAAGGGACACACACAAAGCTGTGCAGCTCAGCCCCTGCCCTTCATCTCCCCCAGGAGCCAGGAAGTCCTGTCTGGTGGACTGACCAAGGCGCCTGCAGGTTCCGCCCCTGTACCACCTGGAGGCCTGGGCCTCCGAACCTGTATTCTGTCTGTCTGAGGGACTCCTCCGCCCCATCCCGACGCTCCCCCAGGATGGCAAGGAGCTAGCCTTCCCTGTCTATCATGAAGGTTACCATCCTGCAGCAGCTGTGCACCAACAACGTGCTACTGAGACCCCAGAGAGTTCAAAGGCCTCAATCTCAAACACCCCCACAGCCCCGGGCCAGTCCCAGCCAGGGTCCACGGACTCACTTCAGCACGCCGTTATCCCTGTACTCGCTGCGGTAGAAACCCGCCAGATCATCGGCCAGCTCCCCCTGGAACTCGCTGTCCATCTCGTACTGGCTATTGACCACCAGGGAGCCCTGCAAGTGCACCACCAGGTACTCGGTGCGCTCCACCAGCTCAGTCCTTTCGATGGCTGGAGGCTGGGAGCCGGCCACGCCTCGCAGGGCCACCCGGTGCCCAGTGGATTGCTGGTTTGTGTAGTTGAGTTTTTTGCTGTGGATGATGATGACATTGGTAGCCTCCTTGCAGGTGAAGCGGACGGTGCTCTTGCCCCAGAAGACGTACAGACCATGTTCATTGGGGCTGAAGTAGGGCCTCAGCATCACCTGGTACGAGTCGGGTACCAGAGAGCTGGGTAGGCGGTACTGGTTCCATGGCTTGCTTTGGTCCACAGTGGTGGCTGTGGAGGTGGTGGAGGGCAAGGTGGGATCTGGGGCAGAGTTCTCAGTGTTCCGGTTCTTCTCTTGGGCATACACCACAGACAGGGCGACGATGGTGCAGATGGCTGCCACACCCAGGAGGATGCCCAGGATGCCCAAGGGTTTAGAAATGTAGAAGCCCTTGGACATGGTGCAGGTGAGCAGAGAGCTCAGCTCCACAGAGGAAGAAGCAGCTGAGGAGCAGGCTTATATCCTGGAGGGGGACGGAGCCTCACAGCCGCTGGGCTGGGCAAAAATTAACCAGGGATCAGACAGGCGAAGGTCACTGGGATGGGCAGGGGTGCAATCTGCCCCTGGCTTCAAGAGGCAATGCAGGGACAGCGTGCGAGGCTCGCAGAACGATCTGCACAGGGCCACCTGCTGGGAGCAAATAGTCTGGTTACCGACTGCCAGCTGAGGAGGTGCCTGGGTGGCACCAATCTGCCCATGCCCAAAAGCAGAGGTGTTGGAAAGATCAGCAGCAGGACCAAGGTTGGACTCAGGAAAGGACTCTCAGGAGCCTGCGGTGGGACATGCGCAGAGTGTGGACGTCCCGGCTTGCCAGTCACCCTTGGGTTGGGCCCCCAGAGGGCAGCAGGGGCTCTTCCCACAAGGAAGTGCCAGCCTCCCCCGTACCCCCAGAGCAGGAGCCCTCTTGGCCAGCTGGGTTGCCCGCTCTTCCCCTGAGCTAGGCACCCCACCCCAGGGAGCTCCCAGTGCGGGGCCAGGAGCTGGCGTGCTCAGGGTCTAAAAGGCAGGTGGAGACTCTTGTTTCTTTCCAGTCATGACTCTGAGCAGGTAATTTTAGCTTTTGAGACCTCTCTTCCCATAAATAAGTAACATAGTCACCTCTCAGGCCTGCTCAACAGATTTAATGAGAAGACCCCACAGCAGAACCTAATGACCTTTCCATTCCTCCCCTCTCCTCTCTTCTCCCCTCCCCTCCTCTTCCCTCCTCCTCTTTCTGTCTCTGTCTCTCTCTCTGTTTCTGTCTCTGTCTCTCTTTGTCTCTCTGTCTCTGTTTCTGTGTTTCTCTCTGTCTCTCTCTGTCTGTCTCTCTCTCTGT